GATTCGCGCGCACGCGACGGATCACAGAAATCACAAGTGCCCGATCAATACTGCAAGGTGCTCTCCAATCCGCCGCCATTTCTGCTTGATGGTGATGGCTGAATGACGACTGTTCATGATTCTACTTGTTTCATATTCAGTGTTTCAAATGTTCAAATGGGCACTTGCAATTTTTGCGATCGAAACCTGCGAACCTGCGACGGATCGCGCACTCTGACACCAGCCTAACGCTACATGGACGGCTCGTCTCTAACAGTTCAAGTAACGCGCCTAACTTGCGCGCTCCATATCGCACCACGCACATGAAATAGTCCTGTCTCGTTATAAAAATATAATATTTACACCGCAGATGCTTTCGCTGCTGGTCCGAGGTGGGCCAACTACACTGTAGCAGAAGTTCGAATGCGTGAGATCAAAGTAGTCATGAGCTGCTGTTTGGGCAAGAGAACGTAGGTAGGAGCATAAAGGCGGTTCAATGGACCCAGTTCAAGAAGCCGGTGGACCCCGGCCAGACTCGAAATTTAATTTCCAGAAAGCGCAACGTCGCGCTGCTTTTGGGCTACCCCCTACAAGGGACTAAACCTTTAGTACGTGTTAATCAAAAGTCTTGCTCTGTGGAGTAAAGTTACAAATCACTGAAAACGACTAGCACCTTCTGAGTTTTAGGACTATGTTCGACCAAACTCAGTGAAAATTGAATTTCAAAACTGTTCTCTAAATAATTCATAACCGATCGAAAACTCACGGAACTGTCATGTGGAGACTGTACAAGTAACGAGAAAAACCAAAAATTGTAGTAATGTAGACGATTTTGACTTATAAGCAAAGATCGTTCTGCTAGCTCCGCATCTGTAAGACGACTGAAGTTTGAGATTCTTGAACCGAACCCTGCAAGCCACCTACCGGTTTCTTTGTTATGAATTGAAGCCGGTAACATCGTCATCCGTTGTCGTAACTCCCGTAATTCGTTCATAGTTCTCAACTCACTAGGATTCGTCCGATAAGCATATACAAGTCCGCCCAATCCAGTGAAATAAAAACCTGAAATCAGGGCAACCATACAAAAAGAAATTTTCTAAGCCAAGGATTTCAAGTGCAGATTGAGAACTCACCAGCTTTGAACGGCTTCTTTACACAGGCAGCAGCGGTTTCTTTTGCAACTGTCCGATAGTCGTCGCCTATTCTGCGCCAGTAGTCCACGAAACCCCGACCGAGCCGCCGTAAAAGGCTAGGACTGGGACTGGCAGCAGCCATCCTACGCTAATATATCACGCATGTTACCAGAGAAAATGAAAGGGTGCAGTTCACAAGGACAGAAAGCGCATTTTCCGCTGCGGGAACCAGTCCACCGCTGATCATGGGTGGATAAAAAATGGCTTTCTGTGCTAATGAACCACACCGAAAATGAAAAGAGTATCGAATAGTGGGTAAAAATAACCTGTGTGATCAACAGAATGTAAAAATCTTATCGAAAAACTTTATTGATGAACTCATTTTTACGACTCTGTCACAACCGACAAACACTACAGAATAACTTACACGAGAAGTACTAGCGGTGGATGGAAATCGAGAAACAGAGAGGAATGTTTTCTAAAGAGAAGATTAACGCTAGCGCATCTTCTTACGCTTAACTTCGTTCCAGTAGAGGAAGAACTGCACAAAGAGGACCGCATTAAGAACGGCCGCAATTGCGAACGAAACAATCAACAATGAATCACCGGTATCTTGAATTGAAGTGAACACCCGTGCAATGGTTCCTGAAACATCATCAATACATTCCACAATAGAAATTGGTAAGGATACGAAAAGTAAGCAGAGGCGTCAAGGCCTTTAAGGGTGATAAAAGTCAAGCGGCATCTTCCCAGGGCATACGAACTAAGTTGAAAAAAAACAACATATATTTCGGGTAGCCAAATGACGCAGCATAAGTCCCAGCGTATCTCAGCGTAGCACAACTTTCGTTCGTAAGCTTCTTTTGAGGTAGTGGGTGTATAAAATGTAAAGGTAAAAGTGTAATATAATGGTAAAGGTAATGGGAATCACATCAAGTTGGGACCATGAATATTCCGTCAACCCTCGACGCCAATATTTGCGATAGCCTGCAAGACAATATAACAGTTAGGGAACTGATGAAGACCAACGAAGGCAAACAACCGCGTCCAAGGAGCAGTACAGCATCTACTAAGATGTCTATGCTGTTTTCAATATTATCCAATTTTTTCGACTTCAAATTAAATAAAATTAAATAAAAAGAAACATGATGACCAATGCAGGTGCTCGGTATGTGAGCATTCATTGAATCACAGGTTATTACCGCAATGGGTGCATACTTTGTGCATACTTTAAAAATTAAAATATTACACGATTGAAAATAAAATGGCAGGGAATGCAGTCTAAAACGCATAAACACCTCAAGAATTTACGGAATTGAAGCTTATGAATCACTGTCTCACAGTAACCTTCAAACCCAATATAAAACCTTGCTCATGCTTGTTTATATGATGACAATATTGGGGAAATCTCTTGAGAGGCTTCAATAGCTAATTAATATAAATGCATGCAAAAATATGTAAAAAAGGATAACAACCCAAAGTCACTTGGGTTTCTTGAAAATGTTTAGACTTCGAACAAACCTGCCAACTGCAGTAATACTGAAACGAGAGACAGCTGACCGGTGCTCTGATCCTTGTAGTTCTGCCAGGCTTGAATACTCTGGAAAGGCATACATATCAATGAGCAATGGCGAGAGAAGAACATGGGTATGTGGCGCCGTGACAGAACCCGAC